CATGTGCCTCGTCCTATAGGTGCTTCCTAAAATAACGTCTGCCTGCTGAGAGTCTTCTCTCTTTGTGTCTGCAGATGTGGCAGACAAAAACAAACCTCGCACTGCATTTAACACTGCTGATTATTTAGTTAATGTGGATGCCATTTTCTTTATTATTATTATTATTATTATTTTTATTATTATTATTATTATTATTATTATTATTATTATTATTATTATTATTATTAATCTAATCTAATCTAATCTAATCTAATCTAATCTAATCTAATCTAATCTAATCTAATCTAATCTAATCTAATCTAATCTAATCTAATCTAATCTAATCTAATCTAATCTAATCTAATCTAATCTAATCTAATCTAATCTAATCTAATCTAATCTAATCTAATCTAATCTAATCTAATCTAATCTAATCTAATCTAATCTAATCTAATCTAATCTAATCTAATCTAATCTAATCTAATCTAATCTAATCTAATCTAATCTAATCTAATCTAATCTAATCTAATCTAATCTAATCTAATCTAATCTAATCTAATCTAATCTAATCTAATCTAATCTAATCTAATCTAATCTAATCTAATCTAATCTAATCTAATCTAATCTAATACGAACCAAACCAAACCAAACTAATCTCATCTGAAAGATTGTATTGTGTTATATTGAATACATTATACAGGACAGAGGCTGTGGACTGTGTGATCAGTGGGAGACCAGAGGTCTGGGGGACGTACAGGGGTGGTGTGGTTTCAGCCACATCCTGTACTGAAGAGGGGGCTTGAGATTGGTGGGTCTTTGGAGTGGTTAGAGGTTTTGCCTGTGTGGCTTTTAAGGGGCCTCAGACAATGGTTCCATGTCCTGGACCTGGTGCTTGCCCTGAGCTGATTGGCCTTCATTTTTCAGTCTAACTGACTCAGTGGCTGGGAGTTAAAGAGATTGATCCATAAAGAGAGTCTGTATCTGCAGCAACACCTGCTCATTGAGAACGTCTTATTTCTCTAGTTGGTGCTAATTTACTACAGAAAATGGGAAGGTATAGGCTAAGTTACTTAGCTGGCACTGCTAGTTATTAGACAGATGTCTATGAGAATGTTATGCAACATTTTCACACTCATTTTTATAACATTCATTACTCCTGTGACACTCACTGTCATCTAAATGGAATTGAAAGGTCAACGTTTTCATTCTGAAACCCTGGCAGTCTTATCCGTTCCCTTTCCTCGGCTCAACTTTTGTGGGCTTTTATTCTTCTTGTCTCACTCTCCCATCTGCTTCATTTTCACGTTTCCCATTTTCTCACTCATCCACATCTCCATTTTCATTAGCACCAGCCCACCATTCTATAATTTGTGCAACACGCTCCTCTGTTTGGTGCCTTCTTCCATCCCCTCTACTTCTTTTGTTTGTTTGTTTGTTTGTTTTTTCAACCATCTCTCAGGTTTTAATTCACTGCCGTTAAACTGCCTCCTCTCCTTCTCATTTAACATCTACCTTCATCACAGCCTCCATCTCTGGTGCGTACACAGCGGATGGCGGCAGCCCACTCAGTCCTCTCAGGGAGCAGAAGGTTTGTCCACTCCCACTCAGGCTTTGCGTCATGGAACACAGAGAAATATAGACAGAGAAGAGGGAACAGATGGGAGGAGGGCTGCCTGTTTTATAACATTACTCCTAACAACGGCATGGTCATCAGCAGAACTGTGTGAAGTACCAGGCTATTGTGTACTCATTGTGCAGTTTTATATTTAGGCTTCTGCTGGATATAGACAAGCAGGAAGTACCAATTCTGCACTGCAGTCAAATTTGTTTCCACACACTGAATGTGGATGTGGATGTAAATGTGTTTCATTTGTAATAAGCACCTACAAACACCACTTTAAAACAATACAACTTAAAACAAATCACTAATTTTATTCTCCAAATATTTTTGTTGTCAAAGAATTCCGAGATCATAAACTCCAATATCATCATACAGAGTGTGGCAGAAGAGAAAAGCCAATTTTGGGGTCTTCATTCATAACCAAATTATGGTAACCATAGCAACCTGATGCACATTAGTGCACGACGTCACAGCTGACACAATCCAGTCATTTACGCAAGTGGTAAGACAATGAAGACTACTTTGCCACTCTTCCCTGGTACTGTTAATGTGCAGTGTTTAAGATATCGCTCCGTAGTAAAGACACTGCTTGCAAAAAAAAAAAAAAAAAAGAGAGGTTGGGGAGTTTTACATTCCAATGTTAATGATAAAATGAGATTTCGCAGCCCAGTGTCAACAACAGATTGCATTTTCTATCTACATCAGCTGTCAAATCTGGGACACAGTGAAAGTGAAATATTCACCATAGGAGAGAAGAACTCTTTTCTCCCCACAGATTATACACAGTTGTATTACGACACTCAGGCCTCCAAATGCTGATGTAGAAGGACACGGCCACGCTGGCACTGAAAGGACTGTGAAGAGGAGGAATAACAGCATCCTGAGTGATTCTTGTGGGGACATTTGAGGATGTTTTTTTTTTGGCTCAGTGCTGCAAAGGAAGTAAAGCCGTGGGTGGGCAGCCATAATGGAAGTCCACAAAATCACACACCTACAAATTGCCATGTGTGTTTATCTACAGTTTGCTTTGACGTCAGCAGTTTGGGAGATGCTGAGTTAATCAAGATCAATCTTGTACATTTGATCGAGTAATTACATGCACGTCAAGTACCAAACAGGTGAGGTCTGGTGATTGAAACACTGAACCATATGTTTATCTGTACTTTATTAAAAAATACATGGTTTTATGAGTATTATTTTAGAGGTCCAGTCTGTAACTAGTTTGTCCAGATTTTTTTCCCAACTAGTTCTTGTTCAAAAACTTTCTTAATAAATTTATGGGAGACAACAACATGACCATGAAACAAAAACTAAAATTTTTTATTTGTTTCATCTCTTTGTCTGGGTCATCACTGCTGTTTAATGCTGCACCAGAATTAACTACTCAAAACAACAGTATATCAGATCAGTGGGAAGAACAAAACCTGCCATGGAGCGGTGGTGAATAACTGCCTGTTGTTGCCTTTATAGCTCATTCTTGTATATTTTAAGGAACACCATTAACTTACAGTAAGGGTACATTGATTATATAAATGAAAGGAGGTTAGGAAACGTAGCTATTATCAAAGTCTCATTGGTCTCACAGAGAATGAAACAGGAAGTGGAGGAAAATCCTGTTTTAACGTTGGAAAGGAGCGTGAATGTAATTGGACAGGCCGAGCAGCCCTGTAACCAGGCAGGCAGCTCCCGACTAGATGTATGTGTGGCACTGCCTGCGTCACTCAGGGATTTTTCTGGAATTAAAAGAAGGCTGAGGCCATTAGATCCAGCTTGTTTCCTCCTCCTCCTCCTCCTTCTCCTCTTCCACCACCCACTCAACACTATTCACTGCCACTCCTGACGTTAGATATTCTTTTCTTCTCCCACCACTTCACCCTATCTCACCTGCTCTCCACTTTCATTTACACCCCACTGCCTGCCTGCTTTTTCATCAATTCAACACCCGATGGGAAATTTGGCACTTGAGCTTGGGTTCCAACAGGTAGCTTGAGCTTAATGTTTCAGCGCCGACCCGAATGGTCAATTATTTGGAAAATCAAAATTATTTTTTAATGCTACTTCTCTGCTTTTAAAGCATATGTTAAAATAATAATAATAATAAAACATGTTTATTTTACTCTTCTAAAATAAACAAAAATGGCAACACAACAATATACTATTTGTCTAGTTTAAAAACCCAGACTGGACAAAATTGGTCCATGTATGTAAAAAAAAGTCTCCACTATTCTGGTCAACACAATGTAAACAATGATATTTCTTGAAGAAGCTTCTACATTCAGGCTAGTTCGCACATTGAGCAGTAGCATTTGAGAAGAGAACACATTCACTGAGGTTTGCTTGCAATCAAATGGGGCATGAGAAAAGTTAAGGTGCCATCAGCCACAAGTGGCTCTCTATCTGACATTCACAGGTAAAGGACAGACATAGTCCTTTGCCTCGGTCAAAGAAAGGACATCCAGACCATTAGGGGCCGCAGGAAATTAATTAATCAATTAAATATATTTTTTTTCATAACCATTGTCCTGTACTGTACAACATGTAAACTACCATAATCGTTGCATTCCCAAGTTTCGAATGGTACCTGAAGGCACCTCGTGTGACAGTTTCAACAGTAATAATAATAATAAAAAATTACTTAGTAAATGAAAGTAAAAAAAAAAACATTCTAAAGGTATATTTTCCTATTTTGCAACATTGTCTGTGGGTTTGTAAATAGAGGGTCCCTGACCAGAAGCTAATGTTGTTTGGGAACCCCTGCATTAGCCAAACAAAAATGTGTCTCTTGAACATAAATAAATGTCTTCATTTGGACTTTTTGACAAAAAGTGTGAAAAAAAAACAACAACCCTGGTCTACTGGGCTGCTGTGCTTGTATATGTAATTCAGAAGCTCAGCAAAAGGACGTGTGGCTACATTCTTTAGCGCCCATATTCCACTGCAGTCTCGTTGGAGGGGAATTCCACATTGGCTTTTTATGAGAATCTGAGTTATTCATCTGCCTTGAAGAGACAGGCACTGGCAGAGTTTGAGGGAGATTCCAGGCTCTTTATTCTTCCCCTTACAGCACATTAATGAAATCTGAGTCTCTACCAACACAGGATTATATGCATTAGTTGATCACAGTAGTACATTTATGAACACAAATATATGGAACAAGTCGAGGAGGGGAAATAGAAGAACGATATAAGCTGTAAACTTTGAGACTTTCTAATTGAATTTTAGGAGAAAAGACTGTTACTGTACATGAATACTGCTATGGAACTCCCGAATACTGTCATGGAATACAATCAAATATAAAATGTATTCTCCTATCAAAACAATACATTTTTATCTTTTTTGTTAACTTAAAAAAAATCCAAAGAATGCGCAATACACGGTGACTTTCCGTAGTGAAGAAAATCAAAACTGCGCCTTTAAGGGGACCCGGAAGTTGTTGTTAGAGCGGATGTCGTAGCCCTCAATGTGACTTACAGTCCGAAAACTGATCAGAAAAGCTAGAAATTTAGAGTCTACAAAAATGTTTCTAACCTCAATTAATCGTGAGTATATTACTGTGTGAAAATGATACTTCTGTGTTGATAACGAATGGTTCTACGAAATGGGTAATCGTAGCAGTTTCTATTCAATCAGTCGTAGTCGTTCATGGCAATACTTCATTATTTACTCTAGTGATCGCTAGAGATGTTGTGTTAGGAAACGCTTAAGTTTTAAGCGTTTTCAGATATTTATTCTCAGTAACGTCAATATCTGAATGTAAAGGTTTACAGTGTATTTGCGTTAGGTCTGCAAACATGTCTTCTTGATTTAAAATAGTCTGCAGCTTTAAACTGAATATTTACCCTAATAAATAACAGAGCAATTAAATCAGTTTTCAAAAATTTAAATATTAATGACATTTAAATATTCCTTTGGAGACTCAAATCTAAGTATCCTATACTGACACATGGCTATTGAACATGAATGTTCCACTAATGTGCTTACTTAAGTATGCGTAGAGGTCTAGTTGGTCAATGCTGATAATGCCTAATAAGATGAGTTGTCTTCAACATGTGTGATCTTTCCTTTCATGTCCCAGTGGCCAAGGCAAAGTCAAAGTAAGTAAAAGTTGTCTGAATTCAATTTAAAATTCCTATCAAGGATCATAACATTCAAAGCATGTACACTACTACATTTATCATTAATGCTGTTTTCCTCCTGTCAGGACCATCCTGGTGCAGATGATGAGTGCTGCAGGAACAGGTTACAGCTTCAACACTAAGAGGAACCGACTCAGAGAGAAACTGGTGCTGCGCAAACATGACCCACTTGGTAGGTACACATCCATCAGCCTATCCCCCCGGAATGGTTCTAATGCTACTGTCTTTATCCTCTATCATTATTTTTTATATTTTCATTATTTTTTTCATTTATTCCTTGTGTTATTCCATGTGAGAGATAATTAAAAAAACAGTTTTAAAAATTATTTGTTAGTGCACATTTCTTTTGTTTGATATTCCAAATAGTATAAGGCTCCTAATTGAAGTCAATGATGTGTAATAATGTTCTTGCCACGCACGAAGAAAATATAACCATTGTAAGAACATATTATCTTCTCAGGTGCATAGGTTCAGCTCGTCTTGGACTTGACTGATCAATTATTTGACTTATTAAGATCAAACACATAAGGGATGTCTGGATACCATATTTTCATGTCCTACACCAATACTGATATCTTGTTTTTTACCATGGGATGCTGTTGCTGAGGCGATAGTGTCTCTGTTTACAGCATGTCCTGCAAAGTTAAGTTGAGCATTCTGGCTGAGGTATCGGATCGGACAGGTTGTTTTTCTTGATGTTCGATCCTGAAATTTTGGTCAATATTGGACCGAAACTGATCCTGAGTATCGGATCAAGTCATCCCCCATTGACATCAAATGATTTCTAAACTTAATCTCAATTTATTTACTGCTCAAAATGGTGATCTGTTTGTCTGTTTTAATCTTTTGCACCAAATGAATCCATAACGTCGGAAAGGTTCAGTAACAGTTACTTTGGATGGAACGTCTGACTCCACAAAGACAGTTGTGTGGATGTCTCTTCATGTCTTCTCTTGTCCCTGCAGTGAATAAACACGTCCTGTTTTTGGAGAAGAGGAAGGTCAGATCCATTTAACTCAGCCATGGTCAACAAACTCGTTGGCTTCAAAACTATTTTTGTTGAAGTGGACCACAGTCAACATCTGTGATGGGCCGCTTGGTGCACACCAGAATTCTATCTCAGCGCTGGACTAGAAGACTTGAGTTTGATAGAGACATTGGCTGAGTTTCAGCAAACTATTTATTGTCGCCACTTTCCAAAAATAAGTCATCAAACCATAAAGATTTTCATTACATTTATTCAGAAATGTGTCACTGAGTTTTACCAACAAATGTTTTTTTCCCTGTGGTTGTAGGAAAATATTATTGTGAAGTTCAAGTTGAACCATGAGTTCATTCAGTGACGTTCTGTAAGACAACTGAACACAGCCAGGCCCTTTCACTATTTGTAAATGATGATTGAGGTAAATCAATTAAAGTCAGTTGTTATAAGAAGCAGCGTCGTCTTTTGTCTGATTTGTGACTTGAGCACGTACAGTTGGTCCCATTTGTTCAGTTTCAGTGGATCCTTTCACTATTTGTAAATGATGATTGAGGTAAATCAATTAAAGTCAGTTGTTATAAGAAGCAGCATCGTCTTTTGTCTGATTTGTGACTTGGTGACTGGTCCCATTTGTTCAGTTTCAGTGGATCCAGTTTTCAGAACAGTGCAGCTGGTAAGTCTTGTTTAAAGGGAAACGACGTCTGTGTTCCTATGGCCTGCACGCTTACTGCTGCCACCTGATTGGCTCTTTGGGCCATCTCTTCCAGAGGTAATGTTGGATAGTGAGTCATGTAAAATGCCAGTGCTCCAATGAAGCTGTCTCCAGCACCCTGTAAAGAAACAACGGTGTCAGTGTTTTTAATTAACACCCTCTACAGTTCAGTACAGCTGGGCATCAGAAGACGATCACTGCATCTGTCTTAACCAGAATAAAAATTAAAAAAAACATCTATGTAAAATCACCATTCTTCTCAAAGCTTTCAAAGTTGTATTTCTGGTCTAAAAATGAAACCATCTGAGTTTAAATGTAGGTCATGACTTCAGGTTCAAATTGAAATGAAACTAACTGTGAACAGTAGGTGGTGCTATGGCTTTTGCCAGCTGTCACAATAGTACGTACTGAGCATCTGCCCTAGTTCTCAGTCAGCTCTCAAAGAGACATCTGTAAATAATCTAATAACACATTATCACATGATTTATACATACAAGGTTTGGTCCACAGCATCTTTGAAATGACAGTTGTTTTATGTACGTAGGGGGCTGTGATGTGGTACGTTAAGCAGAGTAAATGATGCTAAATGATGAGTTGGTGTTCAAAACCTCAAAATATAACCCCATGCTCCCAAATTTGTTTTTATTTTGTCTATAAGCAACAAAGAAAAAAATGGCTTATTTTCAGAAGGAAAAAAAGGTACTCTGTTTTTATTTCAAATTTTCTTAAAAAACAAACAACCAACGTTCACCCCCTCCCCATTAAATCTCCTAAATGTTTAAACACTAAAATGTCTTGATATTATTTGGCAAACTCAAAAGAGTGAATGATACTTTTCAAATTTGGTTCATCGTGAAGTGCATGCTTTAGTCATAAACCCTCATTCTCTCTCTAACTACCAACAGGCTTTGTTTTTTTTCTTGCAAATCTGCCTTTTATTTTTCCCCATGCTCATCTATTGATAGGGATGGAATGTGGCTTCCACGCCCTGGAGGAAGGGCCGACTGGGATGGGACACCAAGAAAGGGAGGGAGGGGGAGGAGGGGGGTTCCACTGATGGGAAATGGCACAGTGGTATGTGGTGACACGCTCATGTTTAACCGCAAATGGCCGTGCCGACACCGGTTCTCACAAGCCTGCGAAATTACTCATCACTCAGGCTCTCCCAGCAGTTCAGTTCAGTCTGTGCTCCTCTTTGAGACCAAATCTTCTCTCAACCTTTAACCTCAACACAACGCCGTGCATCTGGGCCAAAGCTGTCGAGCTCTGAGGGATGATTCAGTGACACGGAGTAAAAGAAAAAGAAAAAAGAAAAAGTCAACTTCTATTTTCAGCTCGTGCTTCTGCTGGACCAGATAATTATTACTGAGGACATCAGATGAGTCTAAGCTAATAATCCTTAACATCATTTGAATCATGATCCGCTGTCAAAGTTCTAACATTTAGTAAACAAAGATTTTACTTAAGTTCACAAATTTAATAAAAAAGTAAGAAGAAAATAATGACAACAACAATGAAAAAATAATAGTAATAATAATAACAGTAATAATAATAATTCACTGTATTTGATCTTATTCGACCTTTTGACCTACACATATGCCAATATCTGGACATGCTGGACAAATTAATAAAGTTTGATCAGCACAAAATTACACACTGCTGTCGCTCTCACAGCAGTGTTTTCAAATGCTGCATTTCCTCCCCCTGTGACTATCATCTCAAAGTGACGATCTTACGTTGAACAGTAATCAGACTGCAGTGTATTACAGAGTAGTTCACTTTGTATCTTTCACCAATTAATATGCAGAAATTGAAAACATAAAAAGTAAGCTCTAGATATACACTTATAAAAAAATTTAGAATAAAATCCCAGCCTTGTGATTTCAAAGGGGACTTTTTGCACCTCAGCCCCGGGGCAGTGACGGCTGCACGTTGAGACCACGGTGGAAAGAGGGAAATCAGAGCTGAGACATTTTGCAGGGCTGGTGAATTTCCATGTTCAAAGCTGTGGTGTGTTTATGTCTTCTGTCTGGTAGTTGGGCATGGCTATAATAAAGCCAGTGTTTGCAAATTAGGCCTTAGTGAAGCAACTCCAGTGGTTTGGACCATCAGCCAGTTCACAACAGCAGTGGGTGGATGAGGGTAACAGCTGACGACACAGATTTCACAGGTCGTGGGAGATGGAGGGGAATTAACGTGGTGTTATTTCTATATTTAGAAAATGCTCTAGAATAATGATAATCAACCGGTGGCCCGTGGGCTGAACTTGGGCCATTGAACCATCCATTCCAACCCAGAACTGGATTCCAAAAATAAACATAAAATAATCATGTTAGACAAAAAATTATTTGCAGTGTCTGTCTGCCAAGATGTCTGCCTAAAAACATTCTGACCCTCCGACACACATAGTCACTAGAACATCCTTGCTGTACATTAAACATCTATCTGTGTACATCAGTGTTCTTTAAACAATATATATATATATATATATATATATATATATACAGTACATATATATATATATATATAGTTCGTTTGTTGAATTGTTTAAATACTGTATCATACAGCAGTGCAAACGAGCATCATTAATGTATGAACAAACGACACAATTGAAAAACACATTTCAACTGTGTCGTAAATCTTTACTGCAAATCATTATTGACATCTGGTTGCGGGATGGATTTTGGTGGGTTCTGATCACCCATCATCAATGTCATTCACTATGATAAATATACAACAACACTAGATGTTGTGGTTGAGGTTCAACGAGGCTGACAAGTGCACACCCCCTTCAGCATTCCCCATCGTTGCCCTCGATACAGTTTGGTGAAGGTTAAATCTACAGGCCTGTCAATCATGTGGCAGAAGTGTTTGGCACAAATGTGCAGTGACCTGGTTGTGTCCTTCCACACTGCCTCTTGACCTTTGTGGTCAGTTTTATTGGCTTGGTGCTCAGTGTTTACTTCATTCATTCATATACAGTATATATACTGTATATATATACCATATATATATACCATATATATATATATACACCATATATATACCATATATATATATATATATGTCTGTGTGTGTGGATGTACATGTATAAAAACTGTACACAACAGTATCTGTTATGGAGTTGTTGCACATGGTTGTTGTATAGATTCATCCTGGTTGTTGTATGAAATTTGGTGAATTGAGAGATTAAAAAACACAAGCTGATGAATCTTCACTGTGGCCAGGGTTAAGAGGCTGCAGCAGGTTGTTTTTTTTTTCATATGTCATTGTTTTAGAGATTGTTTGTTCAGTTTTCATTTGCAGGCTAGTAGACGATCTCCCCTAACTGTACAAGTGATCAAATAAAATGTGACTACTTTGGATTTGCAACACAGTATAACAAACAAGACCAAAAACAAATTAAATGAAGTAAAAATCTAATTCTGTCTTATTATTTGATGCTTATTTTGAAATCCAGTCTCGGGCCAAATTGGACAGTCTGGTGGGCCAGATTTGGCCCATGGGCCACCAGTTGCTCATCGCTGTTCTACAGTAACAGATTTTGTTCATTTCTTATCTCTGCCAAATTTGCTAGACCTTGAAAATCCCTCCTCCAATTCCTGCTTTTGCATTTTCAGTGAACAGTGAACATTTTTAGCTGTTTCCATTAAAATCTAATCTCAGGTTCCACTCGGTTTCTTTCCATTCCCTTTTATTGTAGCATCTGGTCGACACAACCTCATGCAGCCGTAGACAGAGAGCTAGACCAGACTAGACATGACTAATAACTAATGAAAACTCATTTATGTTCTGAAAGATCTCGTCGTGGTCCTAACTTCACTGAATGCAACCTTTTGTCAGTCAGCAGCATCCTGGTATATGATTGAAAAGAACAGAATCTCTGCATATTAACATACAGTACATAACAACAATGACCTCCACTGCACTGACAAACAAAGGCATACATACATTAACTCTAAAACACAGAGAATAAACAGCCAAGGACGAAGACAGCTGAGCAGCCCACGCACTTTGATTGACATGTGATATTTGTGGATCGCAACGGAACGACCTGCCTGCGAGAATGCAACAAACACAGACTGTGAGGAGAAAAGGAACACAAACGTATATAAAGTGCATGTCTTTCTATCAGTGAAAAGACAACGGGCTGCTTGCACTGCAGCCACGTTGGCCTCTTCCACGTTCCTGGTAAACCAGGGGTGCCCAATATTTTGATCACGATCTACCGGTAGATCACAGAGGCTGTAATGGCAGATCATGAGCAATAATATAAAATATCGTATTTTTCGGACTAAATGTGGAACCAGCCAAAGGATGAAAAAAAGGTGCGTCTTACAGGAGTAGAAGATTCTGGTACACAAGACTAGAGTGTCCTCTAGTGGCTGTCAGTGTGATAATAACAGATTACATATTTTAATATATAAGTCGCACCTGAAAATAAGTCGCAAACCCAGCCAAAGGATAAAAAGAGGTGCGACTTAAAGTCTGGAAAATGTGAAATGAAAAAGTGTGTGGATGGCTAAAAATGAACAAAGTTAGATCTAAACAGAGGTATTTTCATAGAATGTGCTTTTAACACTAAAATGGCCAAGGCGGTCATTTTGACCGTTTTGAAAATTATAAAAGTAACAACTTTGTGAAATACAAAAATACATCCCTGTCCCTACCGGAGTTTTTTCTAAATTCAAAATGGTTTATGTATTAGACAAAGACGATCTAATCATTTCTACCTATTCTGGCCAACATCGGTCACAATGGCTGTTGTTTTGAAGATATCATAACAAAACAAATCCGTCAATCTTTCATTTGGGAACATTTCATGAGCGATTTTTGAGTTTAGAATCTAGTGGTCAGAATGACCGCCTGCAGCCTTTCTAGTAGTTTTGAAATCCTGGCCGTTCTAGTGTTAAGATGCTTCCTTTTTCCATTAAAAAACTTTTAGAGAAAATTGGGCACATGTGCACTCCATTAATGGCCTTTTTTTCCTTTTTCCTTTTTGTGCTATCATTATGTACTCTGCAGAGGTAGAGAAATACCATCATAGATACCGGCTTCCAGGAAGGACTCATTCAGTTGGCCCTCACTTGGGTCACAGCTAATGCCTGGAAAATATTTGATTGTACACCAATAAAGTTTCCAATCCCCCACACGGTGGCAGAAAGCAAGGCCACCCAAGACCTTCAGGGGTGGAAAGGTGTGTGTGTTTGTGTGAGTACTCTATCTGTACTGCATCCAGCTGTCCACACAAAACAAACAGGGCACTGGTCTCAGCAGGAGAGAGCTGCATATATTTAAGAAAAAAAAAAAAGATGGGTGAGATCAACAGATGCAGTGAGAGCAACAGGGGGAGATCCATGGCTGCTTTGTTCTTCACAGCTCTGACTCAGTCCATTTCATTCCACAGCCTGTACCACTGAAAAATGTGTCACTTGGGTTGATGCAAGAGGATCAGATGATGAAACCGCTACAGTCATAGGAGTCTCAGTGATTCAGCAGCCATGCTGGTAACCAATTGCTCAATCTAATCCTGACATAAACAATCGATGAAAGGTAAACCGTGTCAATATAAGAGTGGTTCAACTGCTGTATAAATGCTAAGATAATCACTTAAAATTAAAAATAATAATGAAAATCATGATCAAAAAGAAGTGGAATCAACAGAGTTACAGCAGAAAGTCCCTGCTCTGACATGACCAGGAACTGCTTTTTGTTTTGTTTTTTTTTAAAGCAAAATAAAAAGATAAAATACAGTAATTAAGAATAAACAACAGTAATTACAACAAGGTTAAGGCCCCAATCTATTATTAGAATGCCAGAGAAATGAATGATTACAACGACAACATGTTTTTCTCCCAACTTGCTACAGTAAGAAATAAAAACAGGGGCTTACTGGAAGAGGCAGTGTGACGTCCAAAAGAGGTAAATGTGCCGGATTTATGGGCCCATCAAAGAACAAGAGTGTTGGTGTGTGTGCACATGTGTGTGTGGCACATGCAGCAGACCCAACCACATTTTTTCTGCTGACTGATGCAGGCCCAAGTGGTGAGTCATGGCAAAGACAGGGGGGGCGTCTGGGGTGCTGTGGTAATTCTTCGGAGTGCTTTTGGGAAGCAGGCAGCATGAAGACGGTGAGTAAGTCTAAGTTTTGTCTGCCTGTTTAGAGATGTGGGGGCATGAAAGCAGGTTGCCCACAGTTCAAAAAGGCCAAGGCCTTTGTTCTCGAAATGCCTGGAGATAATAACAACATACCCTTGTTGTCTGGTCCCACTGCTGCACTTTACTTGGTGTGTGTACATGAAAGTGGTTCTGCATCACAGAATCCCAGCGCAGCGCTCACACTTGTTTGAAGCTCACTTAAATGCTGTACATTCAGTTGTTCTGTGTGTACAGTAAAAATGTAAAAGTACTCGCCTGTCACTGCTTCCCTTCAAGTTTTACTGTACTGGACAGAGCCAGCTTCATTTGTTTGTTGTTGTTGTTTGAATATAGCTCAACAAAAAGCCCCCGGGGGGAACATTTCAGTCAAAAAAATCCTTTAGACAACAACCGGGTAATAACTGGGTGATAACATAGAGGTGACTAACACCTTTACAGCATGCCATGACGCATGTGGTCGCCTGAACACGGGCCCTACAGAACCCGCTGAGACAGTCATCCAACTAACCGTTCCTCCATTGAAAACATATCACAGCGGCTGCTAAAAAAATGAGTCAAGTAACGTGGACTTCTTCAGACAGTAGAGTCAGGAGGGGAAGCAGCTGGTGGTCACCACATCCCTAATCAGCTCACGACGTTCCTCTTCAGCAACAGCCAGAAGGGCTTTAAAGAAGTGGAAGGTTCACTGAGCCAGGATTGGAAAAAATGTCAAAGAAAAATTGGAGGAAAAGATAAAAAAAAAAATCAAATTTTTATTTTATTTTTTTATAACTATTGTCCTGCACTATTCAACAACTAAACTGCTGTAATCGTCGGATTCTGAAGTTTCAGACCAGGTATCTGAACACACGACGTCAACATGACCGTTGTAGACCCGGCGGTTTGCACCTGTTATCAAGCTGCTCTGCTCCTCAAGCTAACGTGTACCGCTAATTGGACAACACCCATTTAAACTGCATTGGGAAGCCTTTTGCCTCCTTTGATCGCTTTCGTTCTTTTCTTATCTGTCAACATTTTTTTTGGAATATACAGTGCTTAAAACATGTTAGTGAATTATTTTCTTATGCTAAACAAATGTAATAATTATCAAAAAGTGAATAAAAGTTGATGTTTCTTTTCATATTTTGTAGCATTGTCTGTTGGTTCTTTGCGGGGCCTTGGCATGGAAAAGTTTGGAAACCTCTGCCCAATAACCAAGACTATCAACAGAGGTTTCAGCTTAAAGGGGAAAAAAAGGATATGGAAAAAATGAGCCAGAGCTAAACCTTCATCACACGGGAAAGGTGAAAAAATAGAAGTGACAATCTTAAAAGAGAGGAAACAGTACAAAGAGGAAAACACTGGAGTCTAAAAGTGGAACTTTAAAGAAAACACATTTGTTTTGGTGGTCATGAAGGGACTGCTACATAAAAAAGTCCACAAAGGGTTTGTTTGGTATAAAAATTTAAATAATATATAAAATAAAATAATGTTTAAAATATTAGATTTAGAAATATAAATAAGCAGCCTGGTTTAAAAGTCTACACTCATGTGAGTACTGTTTATTTTAATGCTGATTTTCTGTGTCCCCCATGTTCCCCTTTCCTCTCTCTCAGCCAGGGCAGATGGCTGACCACTGAGTGTGGATCTGCTGGAGATTTCTTTCTGTTAAAGGGAGTTTTTTTTCTACCCACTGTCACCAACAAGTGCTTGCTCAGTGTGTGATCTTATTGACTATTTGTAATATTTGAAAAACCCATTTTGTTCTTTTTTTACTGTTATAATAAACATCAGTCAGTTAACTAGTTTTGTAAATGTGCGTTATGCAAAGTGACTTGACAGATTATTAATTAACAATTGTTTAAATGGTGTGTAAAAAAATGAATGTATTATTATTTCATTAATAATAGTTAATAATCGTAAAAAAATGAATGTATTATGTATTATTTCATTAATAATAGTTAATAATTATTGCATTCATTCATTTTCAGCCTTTCACCATAGAATTTCCAGGGGAAGGTCAGGGAAGAAAACCCCCTGGAACTGAGTCATGGTGAGGCGAACATATCTGTGTCAACTAAAATGTCTCGGAAACACTACAATAGAAAAAATGTCCAGACATTACAATAAAAAGCACATGTTTTACTAAATGTAGCCAAAAAAAACTCAGGCTGATTAATATCAACCTTCAATGCATGGCCTCAACAAAGAAAACTGAACACTTTTCTAATGCTTCATATGTTAAATATTTGAATTATATTAATTTATTATCTGAATATTTTTTTAAAGTTTTACCACTCAACATAACAATTCTATAATTATCCCAAATAGTTACTAATATTTAATATTTAATGTATTGTTGTAGCCCCAACAGTTTAACATGAACTGAAATATTGTTAAAATAAAACCAGTTAGACGTCTAATTAATATACTACTAATGATTAACTGGTTGCTTTTTGTTAGCATACACAGGACAATGCTAATATTCGACATGGGTTCGGCGAGAAATTATAATCAATGAAATAAATGGAGCCAAAATGACTAAGAATGACATGAGCCCCTCCACAGAGACAGCGTTGTGTGTTCTGCTTACCGTAGTGTCCACTGCTGGGACGGCAGCAGTTGGTACGTGTTTTGGGGCAGACTGCTGGGCCTGATGCACCACACAGCCTTGGGGTCCTAAAGTAATAACGACTGAGGTGCAGCCGCGCTTCAGAAGCTCCTGAGCAGCTCCATGTGCCTCCTCCACATTGGTGACGGAGGAACCAGTCAGCAGCTCTGCCTGTGTGAAGACAGTGAAGCAGCAACACTGTCATATCCTGTGATTACTGCTGTTGTCAGACATTACTACAGCCTTCTTCAAATATTTACTTTCCCTTTTAACTAAAACGGGAACACATTATTACAACAAAAACATTTTATAATAACTGAAAGAAAAAATAAACATTATGGCAAAAATATAGCATATAAATACTGTATATATATATANTATATACTATAAATATATAATTACTTATAAGGTGAATTCATATAGCCAAGGTAAGTAGATGGTGTTTCTGTCATTATTATGTTATTGTGGATTTGTGGAATGACCTTCTGATTCTTCTATAGATATGTATACATTTTATATATATTTCAGAGCATATATAGATGAAATTATGCCCTATATATTTTTTTATTTTATAATTTTATTAACATATAAATATATATAAATACACATAAATATATACGCACATATAGTGTATGTATATATATAAACATGTATATATACAGTACATATACACACATATATATTTATGTTTACTTTTATTTTTATTTAGTTTTTTCAATACAGCAGACTCTCATTACAGTTTTTTTCAATACAGCAGACTCTCATTACTTTCCATTTTTCCCTGTGACTATTTATCCATTTTTCAATCTTTTTTTTATTTGATGAAAAGCAAAAACAATCATTCCTTACAAACGTCTTCACCCAGCCTTTAATTCCACACCACTCTGCACCAGTCTACAGCTTATCTGCCGAGAACCTTTAGGGCACAACTGCCATCTGTAACATTTTATAATTCATTTGACATGAGATGACAGCGCTACATTATTTACTTATGCAGCATTGGTAGTCAAGGGTTGGGACTCAAAATTAAAGATGGAGGAAAACCAGTGCAGCTGAGAGAGACTGGTTGAATAAATAAGCAGCCAAAAAAGCCAGGACTCTAAACTATGGTAAACATGCAACCCTTAAATGCAATGCTTCAACATTTACCCTTTTCAAAATTAAACAAAGGGTCTGGAAAGTATAAATTAAGCAATTACCTACGGGCCCAGTGCTAAACATGAAACTACAGTATCTAAATACCTTCAGCTGTTTTTAAAATCACAATCATTTCATAGCCTCGAGCCTGTACACACAAACACACACACTCTATATGATACTGCATGTTCATATGTATACGGGTTTACAGCACTCAAAACTGTGTCTGCATCAAAGCATTGTTATTTATACACTGTAAAAAGAGATGAATATCCTCCCTACGCTGATATATTTAACATTTTTAAACTTTTTTGGGCTCCACAGTTTGCTTGTACCAGGACTGTAATAACTAACAACAGCTGGGGTCAACAACACATTTAGAATGAAGGTGACGCCTTAAGGTGCTCTGATGTCTTTATTGCACAATATGCACACAACCACCATCTGAAAAAAAAGGGAAAACCTACTGCCACCTACTGGGCTGGAGTGTGTGCATTAGTGTTAGTGGTGTGCCAGTCACTCCAGATGCACCTTTTTGATGTTGTTGTGGGTTCTGCCTGGAACAATGATGAAAGATAAGCCCTCCACTGTTAAACACTTCAGCATTGTATGCGGGGCTCAAGGAGTTACCAGTGTATCGTATGGTCCTGGAGGTCCAATATCACCCTCATCCTGAGCACGGTTCAGTGAGACCACACGCACTGTAGCCACCCAGGGTCAAGACGTATGAATGTGAAGTAGTAGAAGAAGGTAAGACATACTGTGGCTAACACTGTGAATGAGGGTCTGACCCCCTTCACTGGGATCTGTCAAAATAGACAGTGACCCCAAACAGTTCAAAAATAACCCACGGTGCCTTCATGTGGTTGCAGTGATGTCAGAAAGACCCGTTTTGTTACTGATCTGATTCACACCAGGGCCGACCCATTTCCATCTGTCTTCACAAGTCTGACAGAGTTCAACTACAGTATGCTTTTAATATTGACTCTTGCGTCACTTTATCCTTTAATCACACTTACACACGATTGCACACTCACTTGCAAACCCTCACCAAAAATAGATAATGCAAAGAATGTCATTTTTTAAAAATAATCACAGTTAAACATGGTTTTAAAGGCATTTAATGTGAGCTGTAGATTTGTTTTTTATTTATTTGTATTTTGAATTATTATTATTATTTTAAAAAATTAGCTTCCCAACTTAATAAAATCATACCACTTGTGTGAGCATTATTTAATACATTTATTATTTAATATAAATATACATATGTAGTACATGTAGTATAAATATATATAGTATATGTGTATTATTAAATATACATATTAGCAGTATTTAAGAGAGACGAACAGAAGGAGAGAGAAAGAAGGAAAAACAGACAAAGGGAGTGAGAGCTCCACTCTTCATGTACCCACACCTGGTCTGTCTCTGTATTACCACATCAAACACTGGCTCTCAGTCTAAAACACGTCCACCTTATCCCTGAGGTGGGTGCTGACTCAGTGAACTGGCACATCTGCACTGTTTTTTTCCCACCACAATTCCCAGATACTCCTGCCCTGACAGTCGTTTGTCATCACCTGACAGTCAAGACGCAGGGTTCCATGACAGCAGTTTTTACTGTAAAGGGTGGAGAGATACTTATCCCCCACTTCATACCAGAGTGTTTACATCTATGGCTAAAGGCTACAGGGAGGTTACTGATGTGCTGGTGGGGTCATCACCCAAGAGGCTTAGGTTCAACAGCTGCGAAAAAAGGTGTGTATGTGTGCACGTCTCTGTGTGTAAACAGCACGTCAAACCTCTAATCTCCTGCTTTCACAGAAGCAGAGTTATTGCCACTCAACTAATGTCTGCACATAGTTGTGCAGTTGTCGGTGTTACACATTAAACAGAACTGGAATGAACCAGTGGTTATGTGTTTATATATGGTTAAAGTGGCAGGGCCAGGAACCAGCGTGAGAAATGGTCATTAAAATACAGAGAAAAATAATTGTATACTGACTAAAAACACATCACACAAACTACAGCTGCCCATGTATGATATCTTAAGAAGTAAGAGCTGACTGATTTACCTTTAGTAAATAAGTGAGCCGGGTTCCAAGTTAAGCACAAAAATCCATCAAATATTTGTTTGTGTGGTTTAGGGCTGGTCTGAGTGTCAATATGTGACAGAGTTGGTGCAGATGCATTAATTCTGTGTACAAATGTATGCGTGTACATGATTCATTACCTCAGTCTCATTGCAGCAAAACACATCAGAAACTTTGAAGAAATCCGGGTCAATGTCAGGAAAAGCCGGTGCAGGGTTGAAGATCGTTTTCACTGTAAACAGAAACAAGGACATCATTTAAATTGTACTCAACCACAAACACAGCCTTGCAACAGTGCAATGGAATATCCAACGTCTTTACTGTATAATAACGTCATTGTCCTGAGGAGTAAACCCCGCTCAGCCAGAAGCAGGTTTTTAAAAAGATCTAATTATCTCCAGGTTCCACAGTGGCACTTTGGTAAACTTGGTGATGTTCCTTTTCCATTTGCTAAGATTCACTGACAAAGTCATTCACTGCCGATGCTTTAATTAAAGCTGCAGTGGGAATAAGGTCTGCAGTTGTGGGCAACTGCTGGGGATTGCTACAGGCTGAACTCAAATGGATATGTGTCTATAAAAAGACCGACTTTAAACCATTAGATTAGCACTCCCTGGAAAATAACACTGCAGGATAATAAAAGGCCTCACATCCTGTAACTCACTCAACTACAATGGAACGCCTGATGTTCCGTGACTTTACGTATGTAAGTGTGTGTACTCTAAGAAAAAAAAGCATACAGTTCAAAACACAGTTTTTCAGTATATGGATAATCTAAGTAGTTTGTTTTTTTTTCTCCCTCAATATCTAGGTTTTCAAGCACATGTACCAATATATATTTTTTACTAAATTCTATTTGTATGTGTATAAAGAACCACTAAATAGAGGAACAAGTTGGGCTTAACCAAACATATATACATATAAATATTTTTTTACAATTACCACACATACATGTATATGTATATATAAATATTTTATATACTGTATATGTATATTTATATTTATATATAAGTTGGGCTTAACAAAACGTATATACATATAATTTTTTT